GATACATGTAGAAAGGATACACACATTCATTAAGAAAGGAGAAAACCATGTCAACCATTAAACTCACACAGCTCTGGGATGGAATGGTTCTTCATGTAAGGGGCTGGGTTTCTCCTCTTCCAGAGGGAGTTCTGCATCATCCCACGGGTTGGGAAGCTTTGGATTGTCCATTTTTGCAGAGATCTCTTCGGAGGCAGGAGGGCTGGGTGTAGTTATTCTGGGAGGTGTACTGGCAGGGGTGACCACGGGTGTGCCAGCATGGCTAGTGGCAGCTGGATTCTCAAGCCCTGCATCTGAGAAACCAAGTTTCAGATTAGAAAGGAAAGCAGGAAGTAACCTGCAAGGAACAGATCTCCACAGTCCCACTAAGCATTTCCAAAGCTTGCTAGTTTTTTTTTTTTCTTTTTACATATATAATTATGGAGATGAGCCTAGATTAAAACTAGACACTTTATAGCACAATGCTAGCATCTGAAGGAGCTAGAAACATCTCAACTCTTTACTGCCTGTAATAAGGGAGTCTGCGCTTTAAAAACTAAGTTGCTTTACTTGGGGAACACAAGTGTGGCTTAATTAACATTAGGAACACAGGAAATAGCAAAAGCCTTGTTTTTCTGATGTGAAAAAGTATGTTGGGGTGGAACCACACAGACAGTAGCAATGTGCATTAAGTTTGATAATAGAACTGTTATCAAATAGATGTTGGCTTTTTATACAAATTAGCTCATAATTTTTATACCACGTAAGCCCCTACTTGAATTATTGCCTCAAGAATGTTTATCCTGAGAACGGGCCTTTGAAGAAGAAAATTAAAAGCAGTAGATTAAAGCATGTTTGCCCTTTCTGAAGTTCAATTATTTTCACTACCTGTTTCTTTCATTTTTTCTCGTTCATGAACATCACTGCTCATTTCAGTAATAGATGGAGAGGACTCTGGAGTTTTGACCGGAGGCAGCTCCTTTTCTGAAGGTGGTGTTTGAGGTGGGGTAGCCTGGGGTGTTGGCAATGGAGTAGGCAGAAGAGGTTCCTGAAAGAATCACAATTGCAGTTATTACCTCAATCCAAACCTCCTATCTTCCAAGCATATCCACAGTTAGTCAAGGGAAAAGGAGAGGAAAAAACAGAAATACAAGAGAGACACAGGCAAGGTAGCAAAAAAGAACAACCTTTACTTAGATGTGTGTTTCACAGCTGTAAATCCTCTGTCTAGATATAAAATTGCACTAGGTTAAATGAATTACCTTGGACAAAATCAGGAAGTTAAAAAAAAAAAAAAGTAGATGAGTATTACATGTATTTTAATAAAGCTTTTTGATGCTTTGTTAAATAAACATTCATTTAATGAAGAATTTTAAGGCTAGGTAAAAAAAAAAAAAAATCCTGACATAGGCAAAACAGAGAACCATCTAAAAAAGAAGATAATGAACAAGCCAACACAGCAAAGCACTAAGAAAGGCATGAAAAGAGTTACTATGTCTTGTGCAAAAACCAGTGACAAAGATCTTTTTAACAGGAAAATATGATGGTTCTTGTTCAGCCTGCTTTAGGGTAATAGGATGAACTAAACAACTTTGAGAATTTTACCAGCCTGTTTTCTGCCTTTCCGTAAAGAAAATCAAACAAATGCTAAAGAAACACTCCCGTGCTCGTTCCTCAGAGTTAAGTCTTCAGACTGTTGATTTTTATTAATGACCGGGATAGGAAGTAGAACATGCTAACCCAATTAGCAGTTCACACATAACTGCATGATTAACTCCACAGCCAAAATCCATCTAAGCTGGAAAACATAAAAGCAGAGCCCAACAGGAAGAGCTGAGGATTGGCATAGAGATGCTTTATTTTACCTAGTCAAACAAAGCCCAAGAAGGACAAAACCAATTGCGACAAGTACACAAATGCATAAATACAACAGGGGAAGAACAACCACCACAGCTGAAGGACAATGAAAGTACAGGAAAAAAGAAGGCTGAAAAGTGCCATGAATAAATTTAGAACAGTAATTAGAAGAGGGTCTTAGTGTCACAAGAACAAGCTCTAAAGAACAGCCCTCCTTAACATCCCATCCCACTTAATGTGTAACTGAGTGGAGAAGAGCTTTTTGGCACAGGATGGCTGTGCTAAGGCTGCAGCAGTAAAATCTCTCTGCCTGCAGAATAATCTCATTTACAGCTGGCAGGAGGTGGCACTTCAGTGCACATGCACTGCACCAGATTAAAACTGCCCTCACTTTTCACCAGACCTTCAAATAATTCTAATAATTATTAAAAATAATTTCTAAGCACTGCTTTTACACATTTGTCTCAAAGACACTATACAACACAGAACACTGGACTGTTATAGCATCATGTTATAAGAGATAGCTGGGAATTGATTATGAAAGTGGACAGAAAAAAAATCCTCTGTCTTACAGAAAGCTCTAATCATTTAAGCATTTGCTGGAAACCACTGAATTCAAAACGCAGAAAGAATTAATATTTATCTTTGCCAATGTTACAGAATGTCTGCTGACCTGTAGGGCCAAAAATAATACTGTGCTCAAGCAAAACTCTATTCTTCACTCTTGCAACTTTGCAAAAAAGTATACTTTGCCGAAAATAACATAGTTGTCTCTTGACAACATGAAATCCAGCACTACATTTTTCTCTTTAAAGTCAGTTTTGTGCTCAGCCTTTAAAATAAATAAATAAAAACAGAGTATGTTAAAGGGAATACAAAAGAATTCATATTTTCTGAGTGTAGTAAGTTTAAGCTTGATGCCTGTTGGAATATAACAGGGAAGGAGGAAAAAGAAAATGGCAACAGATTGGCGCCATTCAATTTTCCAGTCTGTCTCTAACTTTTCTGCCATGCTCTCAAAGGCTTCTCTTTTAGAAGTTCAGCAGCAAACCTTACATAAAAGGGACTCTTACCAGCACAATTGCAGTACTTGGAACAGCAGTTGTAGCGGGAGCTGCCTGCCTGTTACCCAGCATGGTGGCAATTGTCTCACTGAGAGCTTCATTCACAAACTGGCTGAGCACTTCTGTGTTCACTGGCACACCGGCACTGACGAAGAGTTGAAATCCTCCACCACCTGCAACTTCCACTTTAAGTCAAGAAAACACAAAGCATACATGCAGGTCTCACTTCTTAAAACATAGGTATTTTACTGCAGCACTTTTTTTTTTTTCCCACAGATACAGAAGCTACAGTAAATAAATTAATCAAGACTATAGAAGAAGCCAGTGAAGGATAGTGACACCATACGAGAAATGCACTTGGTTCCTTTTTTAGCATAAAGGAGGTGATTTTTGACAAATTTATTAAAAAAAGAAAGGCGAAAAAGTGTTATAGATTCAGCAAAATGCCATGCTCAACCAAATCTGATTTACATGGCAAACGAACAGAAGCTGGTTCATGTATTTTGTGTTCATCTTTTCTCATTTAGAAAAAGTATTTTAACGGCTTTTTTAATTTGTGCTCTGGCTCAACATAAATTAAAGCATGTGTTTTGTGTACAATAGTTTTGCTAGTTCACATTATTTAAAGTTAGGCTCAGGAAACAGCTACTGATGCAACTTTTAAAAGTTAGTAAATTTGATATAATTCAATCACAACATTGAGGGGAAAAAGCAACTGCAAACAGTAACTGTGACTTACCAATATCAGAGGTGACAGTCTCATTGTCTTCACTTTCTGATGTGCTTACACTGGGCACTACTTCCTTTTGAGCTGGATACATCCCACTGATAATTTTTGCCATTATCTCTTGTTCCACCCTAGCAAAATAAAATTTTTATACCAATCAGCAAGTGTCAAGATACCTTAATGCCTCATTTTTGACACAAAGGAAAAAACACGGAAGCTCAAAGGAAAGCTGAAAAGGGAAGGATAAAGAAAGGGAAGTTTATTCTTATGGGCTCATTCTTCCACATTTCTACTCCTTTTCATAACTGTAACTCACACTACAACTCACCAATGTATCAACCTGTTTTCTATAGTTTCTCTCCTTTGAATCAGTTCATCCAAAACATCCGAAGACTGCTGAGGAGCAGAAGACACTGGAGGATACAGAGGACCATTGTATTTTGGAGAGGCAACTTTCAATTGTCCATTAAGCTCCAGGAGAGGCTCACAGAATTCTGGAATTTCATCACTCTCTTCTTCCTGATCCTAATAAATGAGAAGTAAATCAAATTATAGTGCATTTTTGTAAGATAATGTAATTGCGGCAACCTTCAGATTTTTTTCTTTGGGAAGCAGTTATAGATGTGTCACAGCACACAAACCACATTCTCCCTTGTTATTATGTTGTAGTTAATAGACACAGTTCTAAACCTAGCAAATCATCAATCTGCAGAGGTAGGGGATTATAGGAACTGTTAAGTGAAACACAATTTGGCTTATGTTTCCTGCCTGCATTGCATAGGGCAGGGAGCCAATCGTAATTCTAATACTCCAGAAATTTACTTATGACATAATTGAGGTCTCTTGAAATACATCTCAGAAACGTGCCTTTTGTTAAAAAAAAAAAAAAAAAAAAAAAAAAAAAAAAAAAAAAAAAAAAGGCAAAGCTTAAGAATCTTACTGTAGTCATTTGTTGAGGAGGAGAGTTTAAAATTAAACTTTTTGAAAAAACTCTAGTCTGAAAAGACGTATTCCCAAAAGTTAATTAATATGCCGTCAGTCAAAGCTCTAATAAATAAATCATCATTGAAGCTTAGACATTAATTATCTGCACGTGTGTGTTAACTCTTTCACTAACTTCAATTGCTGAGAAGGTAGAAGGTATTTCTTGGCAATCAGCTCCCAAGATCCCCAGAGATCCTTTGAATCTAACCCTAATGTGCTATTCCTAAAAGCTATGAAAGCTTTTCTGTGTGCATTAACAATGTTTGACCGTTTCCAAAGATGTCATCCTCCTCCCTTTGTCCTCCTGAGTGCATAAGCAGCATTAAGTCCTCCAAAGCACAGTCACCAACCCATCCTGTCATACACTTTAGAAATGTCTCCTGATTAAATTTAAACATTTCCAATAGCAATATAATTCTATAAGAAGAAAATTATGCATGTCAAAAAGAGTTGAGGAAATGAGCTCTGAATTACCAGAGAACATGTGATGCTCCATTAAAAAAGCTCACTGTGAATCTGTATTAATGGAGATTGATCTCCTGCAGAGTGTCTTTCTTTTTATAAATTAAAATCACATTTAACTAAGAAAAGAAAAACCTTAAATATTTCTTATGCATAAGGGAATGAATCACTAAAAATGGAAAGAGAAAAACAAAAGAGACAGTAAGAGCTTCCTCTCTCTTTCTTCAACCCACTACTAATTCTTCTCTCCTACCTTAATATATCCTAAAGCTGGAGTAAGTCAGACAGCTCCATGATGGGTAGTGCACTGAATAGCTATTTCTACTGGGGACAAAGGGTAACCTTTCTGGCTCTCTAAATAGTAAAAATTTTCCAAAGAAAAGGTGTAACCTACAAAGCAGGCAAAACTGAATATGCAAGAAAGATCCCTGAACTATTCCACGTGTTCATTCTGAAATAAGACAGTAAAGTTATACTCAAAATGCCACCGGATGACTTGTGAGCTGATAAGCAATTCATTCTGTTAGGATATATGCATTCATAACCATAATTCATTCTGACAGCGAACGTAAAGACGCCTTTGTCCGCTGTTTCATTATGCAGTTTCTTCTGACTGCGTTACTCCATAAATTTTCTTTGATGTCTCCCATTTAATATAATCTTTTCTGAAAGTACGCAAAATGCAAACATCTGGATTAAATAAACCAAGGACATACAATAAATTTTGCGTATAATTAGTAACTCGCGACAAAATTCTGCAAACTTTCCTGCATTTCTACATTATGCACATAAAATATTTAATAGCACACAAATCTATAAAAATCTAAAATTTACATTCATTCTGGGAGTGATACATTACCACAGATGAAAATTTAAAAAATTAAATAAAAATAAAATAATAATAATGATCAGTACTTAATTATACATTTGAACTTGCACATATATCACCTTGTAGTCAGTCCTGAATAATTTGCACTCAATTCTGCATTTTACCTCCTTGGAGACCTTTGAAAATATCTATCAAGACTCCTGATCAAAATAATGCATATATTAGAAAGTCTTTCAGATATAGTTGGAATATTAATCACTCCAGTTTAAAAAGTATCAAGCTGAAATTCTATTCATTTCCTAAAATTACATGCGAATAATTAAAATGTAATTGAAGTGATTATGTAGCATAGATTAATTTTGTTCCATTACTGAACGTACATACATACTTTTATTAAAGCAATCCAAAAGTTAGCCATGGATTTCTTTTTCACACAGATTTCTAAAGCAATTTTCGCAAGCAAAATCTAGCTATATTATAGATGCTACCTGTGATCTTATGCCTGAAGAACTACACATGTAAAAATCATAGTGCCACAAAGAGCATTTATGAGAAAGCTGCCTTGACTTATATAATATTAACACTGATCTCTGCAGGTTATATTTATGCATACAAGGATAATATTCAACTACATTTAAGTATACAATTGTCTCAGAATGGAAGCTGAAATTCTGAAAAATAAGTCCTTATCTTGCAGCTAGACACATTTACAAAGTAATAGAGAGGATAAACAAAACAAAACTGTCTGATCTTACAGTAAAGTCTGAGTTTGTTAAAGGTACTACAGGGTGTGGGTGCTCATGAGTGATGGAGACATGACTCACTAAGCCTGAAAGTCCATTCTGTTAACTGGGCAAGTTGCTCACTCTGGAATGAGGCAGAGTTGATCTGTGCAGCCAGCCCTATGGGCATATATATATATATATATATACACACACACACACGCACACATATATATATATATACACATACATATATATATATATATATATATACACACATACACACACACCTACACACACACACATATATATATGTGTATATATATATTATATATATTTTTTACATGCTTTGCTTACATGTCTGGGTTCTGCATGCTCAGCCTCACTACTGGTGCCTGGGAACAGGGAACAGGGAGCTGTGACAGCCTCACTTCCTTTGGGCTATAGGACCTGACAACCCCTATCAATTAGTATTTCAATTTTCAAAGTAATTCTTGAATGTGCATCTTCTTGTGTGAAGAGTAAAGCAAATCCTAGAAAAAGAAAATGCCTCGGCCAAGGTCCTGAAGCCTTTTTGCAATTTCCAACAAGAAAGGTGAGGGGGAAGAAAGAAAGGAGAAAAAAAAAAAAAAAAAATCACCGCACACAAAATATTTATCCTTTTCAACTCTAACAGAATCAACCTTTCATGAGGAGAAAGAAAAAAAAAAAAAAAGGTGTGAGAGGGGAAACAATAAGCTCTTTTCCCATATAACATTTTATGAAGCATTTGAAGTGAAGTTATTGTTACAAAAGAGGATCCCTTTTGATGTCTTAAATACTCTTGCCACTCCAGAGGTTGATTTTATGCTTCCACATTGTGTTTGTCTTGCACATTTTTAAGAACATTGTCTACATGGTCATAGGCCAAACATGTGTTACACTTGGAACATTTTTTTAATATTGTGGTTAAAATATATCCCATTGCCAGAAATAAAAGATAAAAGCAATTCAAGGAGAAAAATGGAAAAAAAAAAGAAGAGAGATATGTGAATAAGAGTTATTCATGTTTTAAGAAAAAAAAATTAAGCTGTGGGATATTTTTCTGTTTTTCCATAAGCTTATTTCTTAAATAGTTTTCCAGTTAATTCTTATGAACTAAAAACTTTTGTGCAAATAGAAGGAAGCTGTCCAATAGATTTAACTCCTTCCCTCATTTCCTCCCCTATTTGATAGGCAAGCCTCATCTTTAGGATTGTTTTAACTGACTGCTAATGCTATGTGATGAATTCATTTTAGATGCATCATAACGACTTGTAAGATATGAAGTCAATATTTAGTTTATACTGCAATTCCGGGGCCAGCAGCACACAACTGGTAAAGGATAAACACTTAGGTAGGTTTTGAATAGCACACAGCATGTCCAGCTCACAGCTGGGACCTGCAGACAAAAGAGCTCCAAGAGAAATGTTAGTGAACGTCAGCATCTTCAAGCTCCTGGTATTTATTGAGTTCTTAATGCAGCAGGATCCAGAAGCTGCTGCCTTCCACAAAGGCAAGATACTGCATAACAGCAGGGTGGCAGCATCTTGCTTCCTTCAGAGGAAGCTTTTCACAGCTGCTGTTGAGCTTCTGCTTTAATCTGCAAAGTAAAATACAGCTCAACCCCCTTGAAAGTTTATCAGGCCCTGCTCTTATTGCCAAGAGGTCAAAAGGACTTGCTACCTAAAAAATTAAACTGTAAAAGAGTGCTTCCAATAAAGTCACATCTCTGTGATTAAAAGCTTCAAGGTTGTTTAAAAAAAAAAAAAAAAAAAAAAATCTATCTGAACCCACATACACACAAAAATATACTAACAAGGAGAGGGATTCAGCAAAACCAAATTCTGTCAGCTGAAGGTAGGTTAAATAAGTAATGTCCATATATTGCTCATCTGTTCTTTTGTTATATTCTTTTTGACTGAACTGAGGTATTAGGCCAAAGCATTTTAGGACTTCAGACATACATATATATATATATATATATA